TAACGCCCTTTGAAGCCCAAAACTCCCTTTTTTAATGAAAATAGATAAAATATAGACGATTATAGGAGGGTGGGGGTAGGACTGGCGGGTTTAAATTATTCGGTTTTGGGAATTTTTCGTCGTGTACTATAACATACCAAAAGCGCATCAAGATCGGTGACATACATGTGGATGAAAATTTAAAAAAGTATTATTTTGACCCACATATGGATCGAGAGAATGTTGGTGAATCAAGCCAAGCCAGTAAACAATACTTGTCTATATAGATCTCAAGCTTAGAGAGTTGTGGATTGTACAGTTTAAGGTTATATCATTACGCTTAAGTAAGCAATGGACTGGGCGCACATTAGCCGGGCGCACAAGTGCCAGGCCAAACAATCAATCCACGTTAAGACCCGGCGTAACGGCCCGAAGCCCACTGGCTTTCCGAGTGTATATTCGAGGGAAGCTTTTAATAGCTCCACTACAAATGCGCACCCACAGACGTTTTACATGGTCAACATAGGCCGAGTGAATACTGTTTCAAATTACGAGTCAGTTCGCTTACGAAGACACGAAGTTAGGCCAAAATTACTATCATCGAACCTATTATTTTAGAATATTTTACTAAAAACGTGCTTGGATGCCTAGAAAAAGCTTTTCAGAGAAATATATGGTGGAAATTTCAAAAGAAGCGTTGGATTAGTAATTTCAGCCTGGCTTCGGTATCTTTTTGAAAAGAACTTGGCCTTCAAATAGCTTACAACGAAGCACACGAGACAGGACGTATTCCAATCGAGCGATTTTAATAAACGTAGGATAATTATTAAACAAAACAAAAAATCGCAATATACGAATGAGTTCTAGAGGCGTCGGAGTGAAAAAAATTGGCTAGCTTCGGGCGAAACGAATCTACTTGTTGTGCACAAAGCATCGAAAAAAAATGTAAAAGAAGACCCTCGCAAGAAGGTGGGAAGGGGAAAAACAATAAAGGCAGACTAGCGCACAAGAGACAGCGCGAGAGCGGGAAATTTGATTTAACGATTTAATCTGACTGACAGACGAGCGGCGGCTTGTGTAAATAACACATCCAACTATTGCTACGAGGCAGTGCCGTACGCGTGCGCGTCTACGGCGTGCGGCACACGGTAGTAGTTGGCGAGGCCCGAGCTTAACTGCGAGAGCGAGAGAACTATACGTGCTTTAGCGCTTCATATACATATATACCGCAAACTTAGGTAACAAACGTTCTCGCAAGAAACTTGGCGTATACAGCAGCAGCAGCAGCAGCAGCACAGACAGTTCTCCCGTGCACTGGATGGGTGTGTGTGTGCACATATAGCAATCCCGTGTCTTTGGATGAACTCGCTTCAGCTCACTTCGCTTACTGAACTTGCCGAGTTAATCTTTAGTTCGTCGAGTGTGTAATTTCACCGATCGTCTAGCACGGCGTATACACTAAATATATATACATACATACACACAGGCATGCATGGGCGAAATGCGCATATTTCGAGTATTATAACATACGGCTGTATGCATTTATGCGTACAGCTCCGTTGCACATGTTGCCGGCATGCTCGATCTATTTATTAGGCTCTGCGGATGCTCGCTTGCCTACTCGATGCCGATCAATTTCCGAGACCGGCTGCTCGCCTCGTACGGCAAATTTTTTTAATTTCCAATTTCAATTGCGGACTATCGTAAAGCGTCTCTACTCTGCTGCTCGTTCGGAGGGAAGCGTAAAAAATTGGGAAAGCTCCTGCGCCCAAGTAATGCTATCTCGCCGCCTAGTTGCGACCGTCGTAAAATCAATTGGATAAAGAGTCTAGGAATAGTGGAAAGTACATTGGCCATAAAAAGAAGGCAAGACAAGGAAGACCGAGCTACGTAGAGGCGGCGGCAGTGCAGCGGCTGCAGCGTAGCGCAGGTGAAATCCCACAGCACTACGCACACAGAACGTGTCAATAGGAGTTTGCGCCGGCCACAATGTTCCCTAGAAATACTCCGTATAATGCATGTATATACTTGTGCAGTGCAGGATATACCAACACGGAGCTAAAATAAATATAAGTAGACTTGGCGGCTGGCTTCTATACACGTACTTTGCAGCTCACGAAAAAAGCAACCCTATAAGAGAAGAAGAATGTTGCCTGTCAGCGTGCATTATAGCCGACGAAACACACTGTGCTTGCGGCCTGCTGCCTTTCCTCCATCTCCTGCGCTCTCCTATCCTTCTACTCTTTCTCTCTTTCTCTCTCCTTCGTTTTCCCATTACACACGTCCGTGTACACATTGTACCAACGCCAAAAGAGTCTACGTTGAACTTCTTTGCACGCTGCACTTTTTTCCCGGACACGTGGGCTACTTTATCCTACATCGAGTCTCGGATGAATGAATTATACAGCGATAGGCAAAGTTTTAATTTTAGCAATGAAATTTAAGGCGATCACATTAAAAAAATAAATTTTATTCATGTAATTGCTCAAAAGAAATTTCCCAGACAAATCTTAACCATTACAATAAGGTATGATAAAAAATTACTTGTCTATCACGCCTATATGGAACTTTTGATCAGAATAAAGAGAATAGTTACCAAATCTCGATTCATACATTCATTCGAGTTTATTTTTCCTTATATTTCACTACGATTATTTACAAAATTTCAAATTGTCTTCGCGAATAAACTCGCGTGAACGATATTTTAGGCTTATAAAGAGGATCGCATTCTCGTTGAATACATCGAAGCGTATGATAAAAAGAGCAAAGGGGGGAGGATGAATGTAGGTGTGTCCAGGTGTAAGCGCGAGAGCTGGAGTAAAAGTCCCGAGAAGCAGTAGCAGGCACCACAAGACCAACGCCTGCAGTTAGTGGAAGCTTGGCCCTCTACTACGAAGATCAGAGTTTCAATCTTAAATCCTCGTGCTAAACAATATGGGCAAAAACAGACAAATAATTGATGACAAACAATGTGTCAAAATCAATGTGTAGAGCAATTTGTGCAAATCAATAAAATTATAATTCATTTAAATTTATTAAATTTTATAGTTAACATCGTGCTAATATAATAAGAGCTCTGTAGTGCAAATGTCTTCCAATGGGCGAAAATGCACTTAAATATAACAAAAGAAAAAAGGGTTCCAGGGCACAGGTATAGACTGACACACATTGTACGCAGGCATTGGAGCTCGGGGCTTGAAATCCTATAGCGAGTCATCGTTGTTGAGGCTCATGCATAATCCAGCAGCCGAGCGTATATATATTATATACGTATATGAGCAGTTCTTTAAATAAAACGCATTTTTTGAGGTAGAATCGCGGCAAATTTTTTTTTCAACCTACGCGGATACGGACCCCCGGGAAATGTTTTTGGGGGTCCTAGGAACATGTAACCACGTAGGAACCATTGAAATTTCAATAGTGCTTATTTTCAGAGCTACTTTTGTGATTTAGGGCCGAAAAATCATGTTTTCTCGTAAATACGGCTAATTACTCAATTTCTAAGTCGCTGAAAAAGTATCAAAACTCATCTAAAAAAAATAACTGGCTACTGTGTTCGATAGGAAATTTTCTCAGCTTTCCAATGGTGGTATCAGATTTTCCGATAAGTCGCACATTCACCGAGAAAATCGCCATCAAACATGCCAAGCTAAATATCTCGAAAAACTCGGTACGGAAAAAGTGATCTTTGAGGTTTAATTTCGATTTTTCCTCGTGAAAATGAAATTTATCGAAAAATCTGACTACACCATGAGAAAGCTGAGGAAATTTCCTATCGAAAGCATATCTTCATTTATTTTTTCAGTGGAATTACGAGCTAGTTTTGATTGTAGCGAGCCGAAAACCTCGCGACCGCGCTGAATCAGCTCGGAAACAGAAAACAGCGAACAACGTAAAAGAAATTCCCATGTATAACATTGTAATTCGACTCAAAAAATAAATGAAGATATGCTTTCGATAGAAAATTTCCTCAGCTTTCTCATGGTGTAGTCAGATTTTTCGATAAATTTCATTTTCACGAGGAAAAATCGAAATTAAACCTCAAAGATCACTTTTTCCGTACCGAGTTTTTCGAGATATTTAGCTTGGCATGTTTGATGGCGATTTTCTCGGTGAATGTGCGACTTATCGGAAAATCTGACACCACCATTGGAAAGCTGAGAAAATTTCCTATTGAACACAGCAGTCAGTTATTTTTTTTAGATGAGTTTTGATACTTTTTCAGCGACTTAGAAATTGAGTAATTAGCTGTATTTACGAGAAAACATGATTTTTCGGCCCTAAATCACAAAAGTAGCTCTGAAAATAAGCACTATTGAAATTTCAATGGTTCCTACGTGGTTACATGTTCCTAGGACCCCCAAAAACATTTCCCGGGGGTCCGTATCCGCGTAGGTTGAAAAAAAAATTTGCCGCGATTCTACCTCAAAAAATGCGTTTTATTTAAAGAATTGCTCATATAGAGATAAGCGCGGCCGAGAGAAAAGCTGCGTCGCGCGGATAATACAAGCAGGAGCAGCAGTGGTTTCTTCTCTACGTACGTATATAGAATCGCCAGAGCTGGCGAGATGTATAGTAAGGCGCGTCGAGTGGCGTTTTTCAGTCTCGGATGCGTATTATGACGCTTTATGCTATACACCGAGGCGAATACGTAGGCATACGTAAACGCAATACGTGTATCTGCGCACACACAGAGCATTTTCATTCATAGCAGGCATGCACTTGCGAACCTTTATTCTTTTATCATTTCATTTCAGTTTTTCTCTTGTATCACCTCGAGTACCTACTCCGACCCTCTTTTTCTCTTCTTCTCGTATTCTCTATCTCGAGCCTTTTCTGCTTTGCCCTGCTGCTCCATGTTTTACTATATACACATACAGAGAACACGCGAGCGCGTAATTTCGCGATATTGCGCCGCGCACACCGAGCAATTGGGACATAATCGCATTGTATAACGCGGCTGGATTTATACATTCGACTGAGATAAGGAAAAAAATCACACGTACGTGTGCACGACTTACCTATGACGGTGAGATTATCCTTGACGTAGTTGGTGGCGAAGAAGGGCGCGCCCGTCGACACCTCGCACTTGTACTGGCCCGTGCTGTTGAGCGTCAGGTAGAGCAGCCTGATCGAGCCCATTCTGCTGCTCTTCGGCTGCAATCAAAGCCAACAAAATTAGCATTTCCTTTCGCTTATATCTTCGCTAGATTTCAATATTTCTTCAACAATTTAAATTACAAGTGCGTCGTACGGAGGCCTTTGTACGCGCTGACCTCCCGCACTGAAAAGACGATAATAGTTTTGGAATATTTGCCCTTTGCCTTCGCGACGATTTTCAATTAAATTTTCCGAGTACAATACCCGCAGACGAAACTTTGAAGAGATTTTCCTCTCTCCGACTCTTTGCTTCACTCTATCTCGTCGATTTTCAATTGAGAGATATTCACTTAGAAAACTTGCTCTCTTTCTACTCTCTCCCCCCTCCTTTTTATCTTCGTAGCAAGCATTGGATAGAAATAGATACTTTTCATACTATTTCAGCTGCATAAAAAAAGTTTCGTCCTTATTGGGATGGTACGCGAGCTTCAGCGGCAACGAAAGGCCAAAAGTCCCTCGCATATATATAAGAAATTTTATTGTACTTTCCACTTAAATTCCAAATCAACGAAATCAATGCTTTTTCCATGTGAAACGTTATATACCATGTCGCTAAAAATAGTTCTAGGATTGTTTTCGCGTGCAGGGGAGAGAAAGAAAAAAATACGAAACATGCTCGGGTGTACATTTTGAACACTAATATAGAGTGGCAGTGTACCGCACTGAATTCTATCCGCGCGAGGCTGGATGAAAAATACAACTTCGACGAAATTCGATGCGTACATATATAGACATGCATACCTCCCCTCCCTCTTTTCCCCCAATAAAAAGGTCCAGGGGTCATAAAAATCACTGGACAATCAATTTTTTTTATCCACAGTCGAGATATCACTACACGTTTAAATGTCCTATGTGCAAAATACACCTACGCGTGCGAACGCACAATTTTGCGTATCAAACGTTGAAAGTGTATTTTTGATTTTCGAAAAAAAAAACCGAGGGATTTTCGATCGACATTATACATACACACCAGACACCAATGTGTCAGCGGCGCGTCTTTATTTCTTAAATCACCAATGTGATCCGTTCAATTGTTTGATTTCCAAAAAAGGGCACGCGTGAATTGTCTCGGAATAAATAAATGTGTCATTAATTAAAGAGCCTACCTGTAGTCATTAAAGAGTGCAATATTGTCGACGCGAATTTAATGAAAAGCTGTCGCGTCCGCAAAGTTTCGTAGCACCAGCCATTCTGAGTTTTCAGTTTACAAAATACTACCCATGTTTTTATCAGAAGAAATTAAAAGCCGAAGAAAAAGTATAACAGCAAACTTCTCGTTTTCTTCCCGGAGCTTCGAACAACTGCAACTCAGTACTGAAAAAGTGAGCTGGTTAAAAGTTAAATTGCGAAAATCCTCGAAAAAAAAACCAGAAACCTCTCGTGAAAGCTTGAAATCGTAATCCAGTACCAACGAACAGTTCTTACATTATTTTGAGTTTTCAATGGGTCGAATTTCTTGATTGTGAAATACTGAAATACTTTTGGTACTATTGCGGAAGTGGATTAGTTGACTCACAGTTAATGATGCAAACCGTTTGATATAAGCAAACTCTCCGGTCTAATATAGTTATTGTCCAGAGTAACTGAAAGAATCTCAGCAATGTATACATTACTATGTCGATGAGAACCAATATCGATTCACTCCTTGTTTTGTTGTCATGAAAACAGCCGGTTGTTAATAATCCAAATTGTCGACGATAATCAATCCTTTTTCGATTTTTTTTATTTATTAAGTATCCGTTCAAGTTATTAAAAAATTATAGTTGACTTTTTTCGAAACATAAGCTCTGCAGTTTTTTTGAAAAAGTTTAGTTTAAAAGAATAATACTGTATTGAAAAATTTTGTTGGTTTTTTTTACATGTAAGATTTATTGATATATTTTTTTTTACGTATTGATGGCAAGATAAGGTAAAATGTTGTAAATTTCATTTATTAGAACTTTCTGATGTAATGTTAAGAGATCTGGTTTTTAAGGTTATATTTATTTCATGATTAGTTTTTAATTACAAAGTTCTTGCAATAGTACCAAACTAACGAAACAACAAAAGTTTTTCTACATTACAGATTATTCTCATTTAAAATTTCATGATTAGATATTTTAGTTCCATTAATTTTTAAACAGTAAAAAAATTAGATAATAATACGATGATTACAATTTCTATTTAATAGAAATATCAATACTTTTTTATAGAAATTTCTTAACATTAATATACATTCAACCAAATTATTTGAATAAGGTTTTTTGTATGTAGTGTATAATAATTGAAGGATTCTTAAATTAGCATCCAATGCTACAAATCACAATATTGAGTCACAAATATTTTCATCAATGTCTCTAATTTTTTTTCCTTATAACGGAACACCAGGATATTTTTTTTTAAGATCACCTCCAACAGGCACACGTACGGTTGAACCTGGTCTTACAAGTGTTCCTGTACAGAAAGGACAGTTTTCTTGAGTAACATAGCCCCAACCACAACGATAGCATTTTACTTTTTGAGGTTCTGGACATTTTAAATAGTTGTGTTCTGGACTTTTACAATTGGAGCACTTGCTATCTTGATTTGATTCTGTATAGATTGTTGAAGTTTTTGACACAGTAGGAGATAATGTGGATTTGTTGTTTAACTTACAATCTTTAAAATTATCTTGCACAACTTGTTTTCTTTCGATATAAATTGAGTTTGATCCGTTTTTCACTCTAGATTGATGTGGTTGGCACATCCTGGATTGCCCATAGTTTTTTTGTTGCAAGTTACTATCCTCATCAGCTTTTTGATTTTTGAATGACTGAAAAATATTTTGAAAATATTATTTTATTCAATCTAGAAATGTTTTCAATTAATTTTCATACATTATTAATCTGTGAATAATATTCCCGAGTAGCACAAATCAACTCATTATGAATGTTTATCAAAGTTGGCTCTTGATATAATAATGAACAAAATTCATTAATAGATTTAATCTCGACTCTTGATAAAGGGAATTGTTGCAGCTGTGATTTGTGTAGCAAAAGTAAAATATAAAATAATGCTCTGCTTAAGCTTTGCAAAAATTTTAAGCAAAAAATATGTATACCTGAAATCCATTATCATATTGATATGTTTGTTTAATAACGCATTTTGACCCTTCATCATTTTCTTCTTCACAACTACTTTGAGAGAGACGTAGTTTTCTTAAAATAGTAGAAATTTTTGCAGTTGCTATCTGAATAACAAAGAAAAATTAAGAAAAATTAACTATTAAAAGTATGAAATAAAACTTAATGAATTACAATATTATCCTCTGCAGGAAGAGATGATTTTGGGGTACTCTTGATGGGCTCTTCAGATAGCGATGATGAACTTTTTGGTGTTGAAGGCTTTGTATTTGATTTTTTCAATCGTGAATGCTCAGTCAATTTTATGATTACTCTTGGTGCTTTAGCTTTCTTCAATTCATTGTTTTGAAAACCTAACAAAAATTTTTTTTTATTATTAATTCGGAGCTACAAGAAAGTATTTATAGTACTTAAGTACATCAATTTAAAATTTAAAATATTAAAAGTAAAAATATAGTTTTTCTTTTCAGTAGTGTTTCAATAAATTTTAAAGACTTTTTTAGTAATTATTCGAATATGAAAATTGATTTTGGATACATTTATACATATTTCATCCATTGTAACCTCAAAATCGCTAGTGTAAATTCCAAAAAGACCGTCAAGGAAAAAAATCATAAATTAATAATCAAACACTCACCTTCGTCGCTCATCTTCATATTCACATTAACCATGATCAAGAAATAACTTCCAGTTCAACAAGTGGATTGATAGTGGACTGCACCAATACGCGACTTTATAACCGATTTAATTTTCAAACTGTCGACGATTCCTTGACTCAGCGACAAATGAAACTTGGGTTACAGACAAAGAAACGACGTAATAACGCTCGTGAGTCGTTCGCGCCCGCAGGATTGTTGCAGACTGCGTATCGTGTGTGCGAGAGCTCAGCGTGTCGACTGTCGAAAGTGTTATAAATTGCTCGTTCTCGTATTCAATTACGTATCCAAGTTATCATCTGAACGAAGTGACTGCTGTGTATAATCTGTTTTGTAATAGTATTTATAAACTTAAGTGATAATCCTTGATACAGTGTGCGTTAGTTGAAACAAATTATTTTGAATATTGGCAACGATTTTCATGTCGTACTGTACTTAAAATTAACGTTCCAAATTTGAAACTTGTTATTCGCAAATCATATTACGAGGCTCTTTTATTCTCGAACGCTAAAGGTGTAGTGTTTCGTTATAGATTCTCACGACTTTTGACAACAAACTTAGAAGCGCTGGTAAGAAGATTTTGCTGCTAATGTTTTTTAATAAACCAATCATTATCATTCTATGATAAAACGCTTTTATTTTCCATTTCGCTAAGTTGATGTTGAATCTGTCTCTTGAAAGGAGTTGTAATATTTCTAGTAGCAAACTCGTCTTCTTAGCCACGTATAGAGTTTTCCGTAGGGTTGTTAATTATTCATTTATTCTTAATGGAGTTTATGATAAGAATGAATAGGAGCAGCCATTTTTCCATCATAGCAAGTCGCGGATTACAAAAGAAACATGGCGTTGATGAATCTAAATTGAGATTAGGATATCATCAGCATTCTAAATGATTCTGTTATAATATCGGTAATGCGCATGATATTCATGGTGTCGCTATGTTTGTATTTTTTTCGTGGAAATAAGCGATGACTGCGCATCGACGCTACGTTGTCGAGCCGTAATTTCGCGAAGAAAATTAAGCTACGTAACGTAAACGCGGTACCTATAATACATTGAATATTTTTTATACAGTTGGAAATTTCTAGTCTTCTTTTTCGTTGAAGCAAATCCGATTAGATTCACATCCTTCGAGACGTAAAAAACCAGATCAAAGTTACGCGTGGCCGGGTGCGAGTGCGCAGCGCGTTAGTATGGTGCGCTGCCGAGAAGGAAATCTTGGAATCCTTGGAAATGCAATCACGACGATACCGCCAGCAAATAATCTGCCCCTTTCCCGAAATACGACTGTATACACGCCGGCGGCGAGAAAGTTTTTATAGCACTGCGTGGCATAAGTTCACATCTATGGCACGCTTTTCGGTGGCATAAGTCGCACATTCTGGCACCGCTGCGTTCGCATCACACTCGCATACGCTCGTGCGCTAACCTCACTTCGCGCTACCAGAAAGTGCGACTTATGCATCGGAAAAGGGGGCATAAATGTGAACTTTGCACAGTACTATAAAACGTTGTTCGATACTCGGGCCATAGGGGACACTTTTCGGCCCAGCTATTAGGACCCTCGCTGCGCTCGGGCCCTAAACTACGCCGTGCCAAAAAGTGTTACTTATGGCACTTGTATCGAAAATTACTATTTTATTTTCCAACGCCACGAGGCGAGATGTAGGTACACCGTCGAAATCGTAATTGGTTTATCGTATATCTGTGTGCCCGTGCGAGATTTCTAAATTACTTGGATTTTCCGCATTTCATTCAGGTGCAGTAATTCAATGGATTTTGACGTATTGCTGAATTTTACGCGCGTAAAATCGCAAGTGTTGGGTCTCGCAAAGGCGGAGGAAGCTAAAAAGCGAATTGACTAACAGCCGTCTTTTTAACAAGCGAGCAGCGGCAAAGCCCACCGAGTTCATTGAAAAATTTTAAACAATGTACAATAGCCCAACTCGCCGAGCATATTAACGCGAAAATTCGCAATGTGCGTTTAGAAGTGCGAAACTCGCCTCGTAACATTGTCCTATATATACATACATATATATACGTGTATAACATTACCCCCGTTGACTCCCAGCTATATAACTACGAGTGCTCTGCTATATACGCGTGCTCGCGCCATTTCGGTCTGCTGTGTGGCCTATACACTCGCACACGTACACGGACACGTACATGAATCCCGAAAATTCCCTAACTCGAGCCGTGGCGCGATGCCCCGAGAGCTCGCAGCGTTGAGTGTAATTTCGTTGTCCTCCCTCTCTGTATACATATATCTATGGAGTAGTATAGTAGAGTGTCCGGCTTAATTCGAGCGAGCCTGAAACATTTCGAACGCGCGACCAGGACAATTGGTAAGAGCGAGCCGTGCGTATTATACAGGGTGCGACAAAAGTATGGAAACCCCTAGAAATATCGCAGAATATTCGTTAAAAAAAAATCAAAGACCCTATTGCCGACTTATTTTTCGACGAGGAATCCGATGGTGACCTTGAATTTGACCTTGAACATAACCTCAAAGCTGCAGCGACTCAAAAATCAATTTTTCAAATGTAACCCCCATTTTTTATTGCAGATTTGAAAAGAGCGGAAAATTTCACGTCAAAATGTATGTTTGGTTTTTTTTTTTAAAGACCATTTTAAGGGTTCTACAGGCTCAAATAAAACCCCGATTTAACCTAAAATTAAGCTCGGAAGAACTTCGTTTTCTAACTGTAGCGCCCCCAAAAATGGTCTTTAAAAAAAAAACAAAACATACATTTTAACGTGAAATTTTCCGCTCTTTTCAAATCTGCAATAAAAAATGGGGGTTACATTTGAAAAATTGATTTTTGAGTCGCTGCAGCTTTGAGGTTGTGTTCAAGGTCAAATTCAAGGTCACCATCGGATTCCTCGTCGAAAAATACGTCGGATATAGGGTCTTTGATTTATTTTTAACGAATATTCTGCGATATTTCCAGGGGTTTCCATACTTTTGTCGCACCCTGTATATATAGGGCGTGTCTATTTTGTTGCTGGGCGAATTTTCTCGCTCATCCGCGTATTTATACGTATCCACGACTGCTGAAATTCGCGGCCTATCTTTCAGCTTTCTTCGTATTTTACGGACCACGAGTTGGTCGTCTTTGATTCCGAAGAGCAGCATACGCTTGTACGACATTGGTCGGCGCACACTCGAGCACTCGAGCACACGTACTTACTCAAAGCAATTGTCGAGACAATATTTCTCAATTCTCGCCGAGCTTTTATCGAAAGCCGCAACTTTGAACTGTAGTTTGCTTATGAGCACATTATATATTTTGCGCGCTGCGGCAGCAGCAGTGACGCGACTATTGTACATGGTATATAAAAAGCAAAGCGTAATATTCTCCTTTTCTCTCTGCGGGCAAAAGAAACGCGCCGCTAAAAAGCCCCGAAGCATACGAGTCGAGTCGAGCGACGAGCACGAGCACAACACGAGAGATGAGCCTTTGCACGCTGCTGCTGCTGCTGATGCTGCTTCTCTGCAGCCGGCGGGACACAAAAGAAAAACGCTGCGGACCGGTGCAGCATGTATTATAGAGCGGCGGTGACGCTGCTGCTTCCGGAACACGAAAGATCCTGGCGCTACCGCTTTTTGCCTCTCTGTCCTTTTCCGTGTACCATATACATACATAGCGTCGTGTACATTTTCTCTCTCTCTCTCTCCTTCTTTTATGCGCGAGTGCGGCAGAGGAGCTTTCAATTGAATTTTGCGCGCTCCAAACATCGCCTGGCATATTTATTCTTTTTCCTCTATACGATATGCACCGCAAAAGCTAAGAGCGTCCTGCAACCGTAAATGAACGCGGCTATGTGAGACGCTACTGGCCGCATGGCATTTTATTACTGTAAGCGCTGAATTTTCCTGCTGAATTCAACCTTCGAAATTGGTCGTGCTAAAATATTGTTATATTTAGCAGCGCGCAGATGAAACATGTCGCTCGAGACAAGCCATGCATCATGCTATGGGAATATTCTTGAATGTTTCGCTCCTTTATACGAAATTTCTATTTATGACACTTGACAACTGTTAAAGGGCAACAGAGCGTATACACGAATTCGCTCGCGCGCTCGAATCGTTTTTTCTGCACAGCTACTTACGCTCGCTCGAGAGTGTTGCCTTTTCATGCGCGCACAAATGTGTGTGGGTGTGCCGGCACCCCAGCGCGCCTACGCGTATAACACACGTCTTTCTCGAGTACCCACTAGCTGTAAAGGCGCGATCGGGCCGACGCGCATTGCGCCCTGTATGAGAATACTCGACTCGGAGATACTCGTAACGAACGGGGCCAAGTCAAGAAAAAATGTACTCTTAACTACTACTTCGACTTTGAGCGAGGACAAGAATTTAATATTTTGCCTCGATGAACTCGCGTGCGCTATCCTTGTCTTTAATGCCGTTTTTATACAGATCGGCTAATCGATCATTCGGCTGTTCACGTGGCTTTATTTTGCAAAATTGACTTTAACACTTAAGATTTTCCCTTTGACAAATACATTCAAAACAGAACTCTGAGCAAATGATTTGCACACTTTAGTGCCGGGAGAAATCTCGAGGAATCCATAACTCCCTTAACTTCAAGAGTCAACGTTTTCGTACGCCAATGCTATACGCATGCAAATTCCAGAACAAGAGTTGGGCGGTGTTACAAGTACAAGTCAAAGTTTATGTCATCATCTCTATAGCTATATAAATGTGTATTAGCGAATGTATAAAGAAGGTGAATTTAAGACTCACGTCGACGTTCACTCCATTGACAGGATGTGTCTTTATTCGGCTGTCCGGGTCGTTTTCCGGCATGTAGCTGTAGAATTCGTACTCGTCCTTGTACCACTTGACCGAGTACAAGGAGCTGTTGTTGCTGCTGAGCCACCACGAGCAGTCGAGGTTGACCGACTTGTTAATTTCCGCCTCTCGCGGAATTTTCACGTTCACGTTTATGTCGCCTGTAAATGTAAAGAGAGCATCGATAATCATCATTGCATTTGTTGCACGCACGTAAGATATACGAATCTAAAAGATAAACGTATAAATGCATGGGAACAATGCGAGGGCGTTTTTGTTTTCCATTTATCGACGTATTCGAACTCGTTATTATCCTTGACACTGAGGCTTGAAAATCGGCTGCGAGAAAAAAAAGGAGAAATCGACAATCGTAAATAATAAAACGGGTCAGTGCAGCGCAAACTGCACTATCTCGCCGTTTGCCATAAAACGAAGGGCTGTATTATCCCCTGTAGAGGGAAACACACAGGGGCGCACACGCAGGCAGGCTTTGCAATCAGAAGGATGGCGCAGAGAGCAGCCAGAGCTCGATCGGCGGGCAACGAGCAAAATGCTATTTTGTTGTATGCTATCATCAAAGTTCTATCAGAGATAGCTTTCGCATATAGTTGCGGCTAACCGCTGTACGCGGTTACTTTTGCGCTCGTTTTATCGCCCGAATATACGTATGGCTCTTTCACTCTTTGCCACGTTGCACTGCGCGCACGCGTATGCACCGCAGCGTGTAATGCCTTTTCCGCACTTTAATTCGTCCAGTCCGTTAAGGTGTGCGGGCGCGAAATAATTTATCATGACCAAAGTCGAAAAATAGAAGAAGAGAAAAATACCTAATATAGGGCAAAACTTGTTAAAAATGTAAACAGCATATCACGTGTAAATCATTGAAGGCTCGAGCAGTGCGTGCGTAAACGATAAAATAATCCGATGCGTCGGTGATGTAATTAATGGCGTGGGCGTGTCACGTATACCGCGCCTATGTATGCACGCACTCGCGCGCACGCACACCCTCGCTCACTCACTCACGCACACCCTCGCGGATTATTTGCGCGCATATAACGTTGAATAATAAATTGCTCGAGCGAGATATCCTGGAATTCGTAATATTGCCGAGTCTGCACTCGAGAGCGCTCACTCGCCTCTCGCGCGTACGAACGGACTAGACTTTAGCAAAAGCAGAAGCTTTTCCATGAACATCGATCGTTAAAATTATGATAACATAGATATGGCTTAATCCTCGCATTACTACCCTGTTTGTTGATCAAATGAACATGCAATTCCACGTCGCGCGCGCGCGCGAGCTTCAATATTGATTCAGACTCGACCGCAGGGTTTGCTCGTTCGACCGAGACAGGCTTGAGCATTCGACAACTCGACCAAATATGTTCCGATACGGTGCAGCCTTTCTCCCCCTCCCCCCCCCCCCCCCCCCCCCNCCCCCCCCCCCTTCCCTTTCCCGGTAGTGCGCTTTTAATGCCCATCGAAATAGACAGGAGAGTCGATAGTATTTCCTAATATTCTGTACACGATCCAATTAGATCTCGCGTACATCATAAAGCTGAGAATAGAGTGTGTTATGACTCTCGGTAAGGCCTCGACTATAAGTTCAAACGCGCGGCTGTAGCCAACTGTCAGGCCAGGGTATATTACTTTTTTCTTCTTTCTTTGGCCCGATCTAAATTACGGTTATTCTAGCAAGCATCTCGAGAGATTGACAGACATTAGCAAGCTTTTACACTGAAAATTTCTGTATGCAATATGCGAGCAATATTTTTTTCTTTTTTCGCACAATTCGTCTGAAAATTTGAGCTTTCGGCAATACGCAATTTTCTTATGGAACAATGAAAATATGTCAAGCGACGAAATAGAAGCTTTGCTAGACAAGATGCATCAATGTCGCAAAAAGAAAGCAAAATAGGAAGCTGTCGTAATGAACTCGAGCAGCGTACGGTGGCAGTAGCAGCACAAGACATAGGTCTTTCCGAACAAACTTCGTCTGTGCTACGTCGGGAGAAAAACTGTCGCAAACAGAGAGCAGCAGCAGCAGCAACGGCCTTATCAAGAGTAACTCGTAAAGTGCTACGTAGCGTTGAACTGTGTACGCAAGTGTATAGCTATATAGAGGCGACAAATTGTAAGGCTCGTCGGCTCGGAGTTGTTAACCCAAGCCCTTTTGTTATGGGTCGCGCGATACGTCCCTCGAGCCAACTTGTCAAAAGGAAAGCTCAATGGGTTTCGTATGTGTTTTCTCGTTACGGCTGTGTCTAATCGTCGCTTGTATATAAATCTATTTTTTTTATTTCACGCTTTGCCAAAGAGATTGAATAATAGTCATAAACCTGCCCGAGACAATTTTTCTTCAATCGAGTATTGAAAATCTCTTTTTATCTGTATATGAACGCGTTGTTATTTGTTGTTCCATAATTGATCTTGCGATTGCTGTTTGCGGCGATATGTACACGATGGAATCACCCGAAAGCAAGTAACTTCAAAGTTGATAATCTCGAGTATACCTGACAATTGCCCCCATTTACAATGAGAATTCTTAAGTCGATTGCGTTGCGAGGTGCTCGATGTTGCAGCAGTTGATTACGAGATCGAATTCAGAACCTTCAACATCTTAATATGAGGTGTGCTGCACGATCTCGGCTGCTTGGTAAATAAAATACCGTGAAACTGAGTGTGGACCTAGGGTCGCATTGTCACTGCAGCATATGAATAATATACAGAAACAAGTGTACGTGTGTATAGCTGCTGGCATGTTATGCCCGGGGATTGATTTTTACGGTTGTTTGCACTCGCGCGCGCTCGCTTCGTGTGTGTAGAGCCCGTATAGTAGTACTGCACGGACGATTAGCCTCTCATGCTGCTGCTGCTGCTGCTGTTTGCCTTGGTAAATTGGGCGAAGCAAGGGTAGTGCCTAGCACTGCCACTGCTACTGCTAGCTGGTGATGCTACAGAAAAGCCAAGAGTGTGTGTGCGTGTTTCACGCTTGCATGGCTGACTGCAGCGCTAGGTAGGTAGCTACCTATATATCGGGCGTCGTTGTCGTTGTCGTTCACTGCTGGTGGCAACGTTTGATCTGATTTTATTGTCGAGCAGCCGAGTGTTTTCGATGAGAGGGGCTCGAGATGTATGATTTCGACTGGATTGGCTGCTGTCGCCGCTGCTGCTTCTGAGCTAGACTGAATAAGGGAGAAACGTGTAATCACCCAAGCCACATTTACTTGCCAATTGGCTCGTTGGATTTCGTGAACCGTGTGATATTTGCGCGTTAAAAAACCTCTTCAATATCTTGTTAAATCCTACGTCTTCATTTAAATAATTTTCGTGTATTGCTGTTATTCTTTTTTTTCAACCTCCCAGAGATTGCGATAATGCATACAGGTATATTAGGGAAAATAGTCCAAGACATATGCGAGCCACCGCGTTAGCAAAGATTATTAGAGTAAGAGCTCATTACTTGACTCCAACTCATAACTATTTCAAGAACTTCAAATATTAGCCCTAGAACTCTCTCTCCCTCTTTCTTTCTCTCGGTGAAGCTTCTTGAGAATTTGCCGAGTTATTATTCAATGCCTTCCAGCGCTCTTCGCCGCCATCTCTACGCACTACCGCGAGTTATTGCACAATTCGGATGGAGAATGGAACGCGATAGACTCATCTTGCGCATGAGAAATTGTAATCTTTCCAAGTCTTATTTTTACTTTAATATTTCATTTTCTCTCTACTTTTTAACAAAAAACGTTTTACCCTTTTTACTCTAGTTTTTCAAGCGGATTATATATGTGTAGTTTCTCTCAAACACTTTTTTCAGGATAGTTTTCCAAAAAGTTTTATTTATTTATGAGACTCGAAAGCTGAATTCAATGGTGACGATTTTTTGTTGCCATAAAAAACATCTTCTCTATTTACCAAGTTCTTACCCGACTTTATTTTTAAAATTATAATAATTTTGAAATACAGCACTATTATTGAATATCTATTCGATCAAAAATTGTTTTCAAATTATTTTGAATTTTTTTTTGCAACGATCATTTACTTGTGTATTTAAAATATTAAGACGTCTCTAATTTTCTTGATTTTGAATTTTAAGAGAAGGGCTGTTGTTACCTTTTAAGAACTTTACTTTTTATCTGAATTAATAAAGCAAATAATTTTTTAAAGCTTATCCCTAAAATCAATACTTCACAATTTTATTGAATCGAAACTTGAAAAAATATTTTTTCTACACAAAATTATACCTTTGTTAATTGAAATTAAAATACAATTACACGTTCGTTAATTGTTTGGAAAACAAACTTTACGTCTTGTATACTTTCATTTTCTGCTTATTCCAATTGTGTAAATTTATCTAAAAAGTTTTTAGTATTATGTTATTTAGCAAACTTATCAAGTTCCATATTTATTTTTTCCATGTTATTCCGTTCGTTAATTCCAACATTAACGCGTTCCAATCCCCCTTTCATAAAGGTTTGAAACGAGTAAAACGTATACACATGCGTTCGCAAGCCAAGCAGACTTGATCGTTTGATCGACACTCACTAACGACTTCATGTTCTCGTTTATCACCCTTTTGCGCCGAAGCTCTCTCACGTACAAATTTCACGATTCAATGAATACACTCTGACAATGAGAGTTCAACCCCAGATTTTTTTTCATTTACTTCAATTACCATTCATTACATTGCTTTTTTCAGTTTTTCTCTCACTTAAATTGAATCCTAAATTTTGGCGTTGAAATATATTTTTTTAAATCAGCTTGATTGAAAACATGGGCGTAACAGACTTGGTCCATTTTCAAAGTTGTTTTTTGAGATCACGCGTCAAAACAATTCATAACTACGAAAATTCTCGTATTATGTATCTGCGAATATGTTTCTTCGTGTGCAAGCTTGCTCAAAATTTCACGGGTTATTAGATAGCAGGCGCATTAATACTTATGATACTCAACTGTCAGTTTTAATTACTGTAGCAAAAGTTCCAGTTAAATCTGTGCTCGCTTCCCGGCTCACCCTCGGTAAATGTCTGCGTTGGAAGGATTATGTGCCCGAAGGATACATGTGACGAGATAAGGCGGATGTGGACTTGTGGTTGAGCTGTAAGTGTCGACGTGTGGACGGAAGGAGATGTGTGTGAGTTGGCGTACGTCCATGCACGCGAGA